TTGGAGTAAACCCCAAGGACTTCACAAAAACATTAGCCAAAGATCACAAAGTCCAAGGTCTCAGAGCTACTAATCATATGTCTCAGGAATCCACAACTCCAAAGTTCCAGGGATAGTAACCAGATAGTCCAAGTAACCTTAACATTTTTTTAATGTCCAAGTTGATTATTAAGTATATTTACAAAAGAGAATAAAGCTCAAGTGAGCAAAAGATAAAAATGACAGAAAGTAAATAATTAAGTGAGCAAAAGGAAAATAGCATGAGGTGTAAATGCTTAAAGGTAGATGACATAAAGTAAAGACATAAAATAAATGCATAAAGTAAGAGCATAAATTAAAGTCAATGATTAATAGTCAATGGTTAGAAGTTAGTGATTAACAGTTGAGGGGTGAATGATTTTTAGAAGAGTGATCCATGATGATTTGAACATTGAGCCTAGGTCAAAATTGATGAAGACTCATTAGAGGATCTATAGAACCAAAGCCTCATAACAATGAGATTTCAAGGTTATTTGCCATAGCTAAATATTTAATCATTCTTGGGCTTACAAACACAAGGTTTGAACCACTAAGAATCAATTAAATAAAAGATGAAAAAAAGAGAATTTCAAATGATATGATCCATGATAGTTTAAGCTTTGAACATATGTCAAAGTTAATGAAGACTCATTAGAGGATTGATAAAATCAAATCCTCCTAACAATAAGCCATCAAGATTTAGCTCAAAACTTAACCATATTTGCGCTTGCAAACATCAAGTTTGGGCCACTAAGAACCAATCAACGGGAAAGAAGAAAGGGGGTAAGATGAAGGGGGAAATGGAGATCACAGTGTAACCAATGTCTCAGATGAATTGTAATTAGGGTTTTAAATATCATCAACATTATTCATCTATTTTGGTGGATTTGGTTTTTCAATCTATCAACTCCCAAGATCCAATGAGGTTGAGGAACTTGTCCTAAAGTATCATTCAAGTGTCTCCAAATCAAAACCAATCACAAAAATAATAAAACACAATTAATAAAAACAATATTTAAATGATTAATAAAAAAGAAATAATTGGTAAAATACACAAAGTGTATTAAAACACCAAATAAAAATCCCATAAAAATATATGAGATCAAACATGAGACAACAAGTGTCGACAAAAAAATTTAGAATTTTTAAAAGTCAGAAACTATTTTTAACATATAAAGAAGTAAGCAAAAACAAACCAAAATTTGTGAAAAAAAATAGTAAAATCAAAATCAAAAATAAAATCAGGTCACCAATATTTGTCAACAGGTCATTGGATCCTTCCATATTTTTTCAAGATTTTAAAAGACTAAAAAAGTATTTTTAAACAGTTAAAACAAATCAAAGGATGAGGTAAATCATAAAAAATATCAAATCATAAAATAAAATTATGAAAAAATAAAAATCAGAAAGAGAAAAATCAAAAGTATGTTTTGTAATTTTTTCATAATTTTTGAATCATGAATAATTATTTTATGAATTTTTGCCGTTTAAAATAAATAAAACCAAAAAAAAATCAGAAAATAAAATAAAGCTAAAAAATATAGACTATCTGATCAATGTCAAAACGCGCTAGTAAGAAGATCTGAGGGACCTGATGCGCTCTACATGTTATGGACCTCAATGAATATCACACAGAATCATTAATTTAAAATATAAAATAGCAAAAATGAGGAGCGTTGGATCTGACTCCAATTTTAATGCGCTGGCAATCTAGAGAGCTCAGAGACACAGATGCATGATAAACATGAGTCAATGCACACACACCATAGCCAAAAGAGTCTAACCAATCAGATTAAAATGCTTGGCTGTATATCATTGGTTAAAGAACAACACACAGGTCGTCTTCAACCTCCAGCTTCCTGCAACTAGGGCAAAATGCATATTCACAAATTTGTAAATGTACGTGTTCATAGTGGTACCATTAGATATTTCTACTTGAGACGATCACAACCATATGCTTGTGAAATATTTATATTAACTACAATGTAGTCGATTTGAAAAAAAAAACAAAGAGTTTTGAAAACTTTGAATTCGAAAACAGATGCATCAAATGTATCAATTAATCAAAATTAAGTTAAAAGTAAGTATCCGTGAGCGTCATATACCATTCCAGTAATTTGAGTTGAAAGATTTGGTGCCTTAAACTACTTGAACAAAGTCTGAAGGAATTGCTTTGAAACTTGACTTAGCTAGTACGATTTAGGACACTTCAAGGCTCGATTCTTGTTGTGGTAGCTTCAAGGAAGTTCAAGGATGAAGAATGAACAAAGAAATTGGATTGAAAAATAAGGAATGAGTGAATTCAAAAACTTATAATTGTGAGCTATGGATAGAGTTTGGCAGGGTGATATGGTCTTTGGAAGTCAACCAATCCTCATTCAGAAGGCACACAAGTGATTTGTCATCCCCTTCAACTTTTGAAGGTTTTCTTCACATAAATGGTCTTTGTCATGTAAAGATAAGTTGTTGTAAATGATAATAGTAATCCATAGCAAAAAGAACCACTTCAAAATATTGAAAACTGATGGAGTTAGGTCCTTGTGATCCTTGAAATGATGTTATCTTAAAGCACGCTAAAAAATGGAGATTAAGTCTCAATGAAATTTGTTGAAGAAGGCATGAAAATAAACACATGAACTTATTAATCTTCTTGATGAATTCCATTCTCTTTGAAGAAAGCTTAAAATAAATGAAATTGAGAGAGTTCTTTAAACCAAAGAACTGTGATGTCATCAACATATCCTTGAAGCTCAAACTCTTGGACTTCATTGAACAGCCATTTGACTGAGGACTATACCTCAAAACCCTAGGTTAGATGGTGAGATGGGTGCAATTGTGTCATCACCTACAATAAAAACATCCAAAGAAAGATATATATTTTGATGTTAGTTAATAGTTAATCAACATAAGATACATATGTACAAGATACACAATTCAAGGTGCTTGGTGATCCCTCAAGAGCAAACTTAAAGATAGGAGAAAGTAGAAGAGAGAACCAAACCTAAGGTGTGATCTTGATGTATTGATATTATAAGATGATGGGAGGATCTTAGGGGCAAAAATTAGGGTAATACAGTATGGATAAGTCAACTTATACTGAGGATAAGCCGTGTGCTTCTGCATTTGGCCCGCTCAGAAGGAACCAGGCGACATAGTCGTTCAGGGTGTATATTGACGGCTTGATCTTTGAGGATATACACTTTCATACATACGTTGATCACCGGGTGACAATTCCATTTGATGACATTGTGTTATACTTGGCATGGCTGGCTTGCATATCATGCAAGATGGATCCTCATCTTCCTGAGTGCGTCATGCGCCAGATCGACTACATGTAGTACATTCTCAGGCATCCTGCTGTTTCTGCTCCTCCCCTGGAGAAACACGTGGATATGGATGTCATATTTGATGATTATGTTAATCATCTGGTACCAGATGAGGCGCGAAGTACCATAGCACCGAACGACTGGATCTACGTGAACAGTTACATCTGATGGTTCTTCCAGGTGTCTCATCCATATTTGGTACAAGATGTTCCAAGAAACACTCATAGGCTAACTCATCAGGAGATTCTAGAGGAGAAGAAGGCTAGTGCCGATCATGCTTATGATGTGTTACCTAGATGTCGTCGTATCGTAGATATTGAGCAGGTGTTATAGATGCCATTATGGCGGAGGCTCTGTAATACATGAGGCATCACAAGAACGAGGGGAGAGTATAGAGCCGACTCATAATCCGACATATGCAATAGTCTTGACATTTGTACACTTGATATATTTTGGATTATATTTTTTTATCGACTTTGGATTGTAACTCTTGATACTTTGGATACATTTTGTAGTATAGACTATTATCTATATATATGTCGTTGTATTCATGTCTTTATTATAGTCGAATCTGAGAAAATATTCTGACGTTTTATATTTTGTAGTGTTCACATGAGAATCACGTGAGAAATTATGTTGTAGTACACGTTCTCCTACATGTTCAAGGATGACTCGCCAAACACGTTACAACAACTAGCGGGACTATTTTTGTGATAATCAAATAGTTCCAAGTTTCGCTGACCGACTAAATCATGTTTTCTATATTGAAAGAGTCGGTCATCTACCACGCTATCTGATACTTCAAAGTCAAAGTCTATGTGACTGATTTTATAAGCAAAGACCGACATCCCTCAAGAGAGAGACAGGACTAATATTTTCATTGAGAGTTAAATCATCTATCACTTGTTCACATACCAAAAATCTAAAAGACTTGTTAGAATAACAAAGGAGTGAGAACTTAAGAAATATAGAAGGAAAAGTTTGTGAAAAAAATAAGAGATGAGATATAAGAGAAAATGTATGTGACTTTCTCTTCTTAAATTTATAGAATCATTGTATCTTTGTGGTAGGGTTTGCATCCTTTCTTTGAGTGACTTTTGACTAAAAAATCTGAGACAATGTGAATAAAGTATGCAGAAATTATGAAATAAGAGATGAGGGTTAGAAACGTGATTTTCCCTCTTTGAAAGTGGAGAGTTCTTGTCCTTGTTAGTGTCTATTTTTTACTCAGTTTCACTTAAAAAAATATAAGTCAAAAGAAGAAAAACATTCCATTTCACTGTCACACAAGTCAAACTTACTAAGATTATATTATATCAACAAAAATCAACTCAAGAAGAAGGTAAGTATAGTTACACAAATTTAAACACAAAAGTTCATAAAATATCACTATGCAAACTTTAGAACACAATAGTAAAATAAAATCTACATCAATCAATATTCTAAAATTGATGTTTCTTTTCTTCTTCTTCTTAATCTTCAATGTAATTCCTAATTATTTAGTATAATATCCCTTAATTTGTCTCTGACCTCATCCCAAACATACCATCACTATAATAGCTACACCCCCCTTTTGATATATTGAATTATAATCAAAAGGTTATTGTATTCTTTTTTTTGTCTTAACTCTCCGATTTTTACAGAGAGGATATTCGATTATAATTCGGTGTGACGAATATCATCGTCATCTTGAGAAGTAACAGATTGAGATTGATCATCATCTTGAGAGATTTGATCATTGGAACTAAGGCAATCAGCAGAAGGATGAACTACACCATATCCAAAGCCTTGAGCTGAATGGCAATATGTTTCAACTGTGCCATCTTGTTTCTCCAAATCAACATTGCTAAGTATTAATTTGCTGCATGGAACAGTGTCACTACAATCAAATTTAATGGCCTTAGCACTATTTGTAGTCCCACTTATGTTTTGGTACATTATCTCACTTATCTCCAAAGCTGATTCCTGAAATTATATCATATTATACAAGTGAGAATTCATATGAACAAAAAATTTATATCTTTTGGTTTTCTGCACGGCCGTCTTTGAAGACATGTAAGGCGGGCTACTGCACAAGCTCAAAATATATCAAGATCAAACATTTGATAAACAGGACCTTATAAAAATATTTGTCATAGTTAAATCGTAATTAAATAGTCTCTATTTGTTTTTTCATAATTAAACTACGACTAATCTACACAGGACCTCCAAAAACTTAGTTTTTTGTACCTGGTTTTGACATGTGGTTGGTGAATCACAGTAAAATTGATCTATGAGGATTGGGTTTGATACATTTTCGACTCTCACATTCTGAAAGCGTACCCCTCGAACATATCCAGCACCTCCCTACATATCATGAACAAAACTAATTAATGATGATGCAAAGCAAATATTTGCCAAAAAATTTTGAGATGATTGAAAACTCTACCTGCCATGTCTTAATTCTGAGACCATTGGTGGCGTCTTTTATAAATGCTGTATCCAAAATCACTTTTGTGACAACACCAGTTGAGTTGTCTTTACCAAGGCTTCCAATACTGGCAAGAAAAAAATAGTGTTATAGAAAAGAAATAACTACTTTACCTAATTCGGTTTCTAGAAACCTAATACATTTACTTTTAACTTTGAGTTTGATATCTTATGTTTGCACAAGTCACGTAATCGATTAAAATAATGTTATGTGTGTGCTTTCTGTAACTAAATTGAGGGATGAATATTTGATGATACCTGATTCCATGACCCGGTCCACAATAAATTCTCTTCATTTTGATATTAGAACTGGCATTCACAATTGAAATGCAATCATCCCCTGATTGTAACATACAAATAGTCAATGTGTCTGTGTGTTAGCATTTCATGAGGACCGCGCAACTCAATCATAAACATGTAGATTAAAGTTTAGAACCTGTTCCGATTTTGCAGTCTTGGACAATGACATTTGTTGATTCACTAATATGAATTCCGTCGGTGTTTGGACTGTCTCCTGGTGAAGACACTTTCACTCCTAAAATTCGAACAGAATCGCATCGCGAGATTGTAAAATGCATCTGTTGGCTGTTCTGGATAGTTAGTCCTTTCACCTTTATACCTGAACTTGTATCAATGGTAAATGCCTGCAATGAATAACCCTTCAAAGTTAAAACTACATTTTTTGTGCTAATTTTGAATGCAATACAATAGTGGTTAAGAAAGTTCTTCTAACCGTTGGTGCGCCTTTGCAAGGCTGTGAAGAAAGAAAAAAAACAAAAAACAATTATTGTCTGCAACATTCATTTTTTTATAAACTTGTAAAATAATTAACTAAGACAAAAAATAGTTCTGAAAAATTGTACATTAGTCTTGTTCTTCTTGCAAGATGCTGCCCACCATTTACTTCCTGAGCCATCGATAACTCCAGAACCTTGGAAAACAGCTTTGTTCAATTTAGAAAAATCGAGCCATATGCGTGGAAGTTTTGAATCCCAGTTTTTAGGATCATCCGGGGCAACCAATGTTCCATCAATCTGGAGAAACGAAAATACCAAGTCAGTTATCATAATGATGAGTTTCCGATAAAACTAAATAATCTTTTTGTGTATGCATTACCTGGATGATTAAATTGTCTTTACAAGGCCCTATGAATCTTGTTGCATTAACAAGGTAACGGCGTCCTTGTGGAACCAATAGAACAGCTTTTGATGTAGAACAAGCAACTTCCCATGCTTTTTGAAGAGCCTATAAATCACAATTGATTAATGCATGATCAACAACCTCAAATGTGTAAAGTGCATGTTGAATACAGAGAATAGGACTAATTTGCAAATAAGGAAAGAACTTTACCTGAGTATCATCGGTTTCTCCATCTCCAGCAGCACCAAAGCTATCAACATTGACAAGAACCTTTCCGCCGCGCTGGCTTGTCCATGAAGGTATGTCAGAAAGTTCTTCTATCTCAATTTCCTCCTCTAAGTCCAACTTGTTGAGTTCTTCAAGCATTTCAAAGTTGTCACACATCATGCTTCCTGAAACTCCATTTGCCACTATCAGCAAACCAAGTAAAGAAACAAAGAAGAATTTGTTTTCCATATTTTTGTTCCTGTTTGTTGGCTGTATATTGCAAGGAAGTTGGTTGATTTGATTAATGAATATGAATACTTTGGTTATAATTTATATAGCATAGATTAGCTTTCAAAAATGAAGGATTTGGAGTGGCTTTAAGGCTTGGCTTGTAAGTGGATGAAGGTGTTGTTACATTTTTCCACATGCCTACACTTAAAGTTCAAGAAATAAAAAATTTGTAATAGTTTGCTTTACTCATCAACCATTTAAAGAACTCTTGCACTATCTCCACTATGCCTCTCTGAAAGAGAATTCAAGATAGGAAAGTTTGATTATTACATATTCTAAACTATTTCTTTTTTTATTTTGCATAATACAATGTCATACACAAAAAAGGGGTGGAAAATTACTTTTCTATTTTCGGAATCATTAAATTTGTTACACCAAACAAGGAACACAAATGCATACCCTCATTTTCTTCCCAAGCCGACCAAAAAATCCTCCTAAAAAGAAATCTTTCCCTTCAATTTTTGGATTGCAAGAATAGACAAGACAATACCATATGAAGAAACTAACATCATCACCAACATAGCAAAATTTGCTTTATCTTGTGTGAACAATGAGCAAGTTGATTCATCAATTCAAGAACTTTATTTTGTGTTGTCATTGTCGTGTCTTATCTCAATCAAACTACAACCGATTTCTCTAGTCATCTTCCTTGCTATAGCAATGTCTCTTGTTTGCCTTGATGCATCGAATTTTCCTATCTCGGCGTAAAAGTTTGAAGCTTGCAACCACACTGCAGGGTCATCTGGGTCTAGATCAACCAACATTTCTGCTGCTCTTGTTCCAACCTCTTCATTCTTGTGAACTCTGCAACTTTGGAGTAAAGAGCTCCACATAAAACAATCTCCTTTTCCATGTGCTTTTAGAAGAAACTCTTTGGCTTCGTGTAGAAGTCCTGCACGGCATAAAAGATCCACCATGCATGAAAAATGTCGCCGATCTGGATGAACATTGTGATGACATTCCATTGAGTTAAAGAGTGATCTTCCTTCCTCAATCAGTCCGGTGTGACTACATCCCGTTAATGCACATAAGAAGGTAACTGCGTCCGGTTTTACACCTTTCTCGATCATAGCATGAAGCAATGAAAGACCTTCTTTCCCCATTCCGTTTCGGGCGTAACCATTGATCATAGAAGTAAAGCCAATAGCATTCGGTGTTCGAACAGTCTCGAAAATCTGATGAGAAAGTTCCACGTGTCCACATCTTGAATATGCATCCATAAGGGAACACGCAACTGCTGTATCTCCTTCAACACCAGATTTCAATGCAAAACAATGCAGTAACAGAGAGCTGGTGAAACTTGCCGGAGCAGACACAGATAACGCCTTCAATGTTGTCGAGACGGTAACTTCATCTGGCATAATACCTTCATCAACCATTAAACCGAACAATTCCACTACATCTTCACTAGCACCAAAATGAGACAAAGAAGTCATCAATGAATTAGAACACTCCAAAGTTCTCTTAGGAAGGCATTCAAATACAGCGACAGAACTCTCAATGTCCAAACATTTTCCATACATATCAATCAAAGCAGATTGAACAAACACACTACTTTCATCAAAACCAAATTTCACAACACAACAATGAATCTGTTTCCCCAAACCAGTGTCCTTAGTTCTACTACATAAATTCAAGAAACTGACGATCGAACGAACCGACGGCCAATGACCACACTTTAGCATAAAATTGAAAAACTCTAAAGCCTCAATTACCAAATTATTGTCAGCATAAACAGAAACCAAAGAGTTCCATGAAATAACATCCTCAAACTTTATCTCTTCAAGACACTTCCTTGCACCAACAAAACACCCACATGAAGAGTAAAAATCCACCAAACCATTAGCAACAAAAACATTAGATTCCACCAAACCCATCTTCAAAACACAGCTCTGAAACATCCTCCCTTCATGAAACCTTCTATTACTACTACACCCCCTAAGCAAATAACAAAAACTAACCTCATTCGGTTCCACACCTTCAAAACACATCCTAGAGTAAAACCCAAGCAACTCTTCCAAATCTCCCATTTCACAAAACCCACGTAGCATCACATTCCAAACAGCCAAATTTCTCTCAGGCAACTCATCAAACAGTTCAACTGCAACCCCACTCAGCTTAAAACCCATATAAAACCCAACAAGCGCACCACCAACAAACACATTGTTCAAAAATCCAAACTTTACAACTCTACAATGAACCTGAGAACCTTCTATACAAAACCCAGCATTGGTACAAAGAGCTATAACAGACGCAAAAGTAGTCGAACTTTCTCTTATTCCGAACAAACCCATTTGGGTAAAGAGATGAAAAGCTTTCTTGGGTGGCAAACAAGAGGATGAAATGAGCAAGTTGTAAGTGACAGTGTCACGGAATTGCATGTTGTGGAACAGTTCAAGTGCTGAGTTTGGGTTTTTTGATTTTATGAAAGCGTTGATTTGGCGATTGTTGATGTAGATGTAGTCAGTGGCATTGTTGAAAATGGGTATGAAAGTATTTGAAGGTGTTGGTGTTGTAGATGTTGTTGTTATGGCTCTGATGAAGGTGATTTTGAGTTTTCGACAGCATTTTGTTTGTAATTGTTTGTACATGTTTGCTTGATTGATGATGGTCTGTGATTTGTGTTTTTTTTTTCTTCTTTTTTTGGTGAAATGTTAGTGATTTATTATGAACATGAATATATGATTGAGAGGTTCCTCTAGTGACCAATTTCACTAAAAAAAAAAAAAATTAGTATTTTGATTTTATTTTTTTTATAATTTGAATTTGGGGAAAAAAATGTTTCAAGGTTCATTGGAGTACAAGAATTTGTGTTTTTGTCTAGTCTTTCATTTATTTTGTTCAGTTTTATAATTAATAATTTATGTATAATTATTGTTGTTTTTTCTCAAGCATGTACCTGACTACCTCCCTTCTGTCTTCAACTTTAATTTTTTTTTTTCTTTCACTAAAAAGAATAGTTTTAGAGTCAATTTTTTATTCAAAATCACTTCCCTAAATTCTTCTTTCCTTTCCTTTTCATTCAAATAAGTGATTTTTCATATAATTTTTATTTTTTTAGTTTGACGTTGTGTTGGTCGTCATTTTATTACGGTGTTATTTTATTTTCCCGTCTTTGTGCGATATTTGTTCTGTTTAAATTGACAAATTAATTTCGACTCAGTACATATTCAACCAATGACTTTGACGACGTTAACGCTGTAGACTCGAAGACATGAGTATACTGAGCATTTCAGTTTCGTCATATTTGTAGACTTTGTCACATTTGTAGGTATTTTGTCGTTATATGTTATTAACGTGGGTGTTGTGAGTTTGTTCGTGTTAGTGCGTGAGACACTTTTAGTGAAGAGATAAAGAGAGAATAAAGAAAACAATAATTATATTATTCACTTGAATTGTATTGTACAAATAATGATACTATTCATATACAATCCTAATTAGGTTTGGGCTTATCAACTTGAATTATATTTGATATTATATATAATATTTCAAGATATCTAACTTGAATTATATTTGAATTATATCTAATATCTCAACATATTTAACTTGGATTATATTTGATATTATATCAAATATCTTAACATACTCCCCTATAATGCAAGTCGTCGAACCTACGCTAATCATAATCAATCTGAATTATTCCTAATTTCTTTCTCAAATTCAGGAATCTCTCGATCTTCAATCCTTTGGTGAAAATGTCAGTCAATTGTGCTTCACTTGAGCAATGTCTAACTTCAAGTTCACCTTAATTTACCTTTTTTCCTCAAGAAGTGAAATCCTTCGATATGCTTAATTCTTCCATGAAAAACTGGATTCTTCGCCAGATTTATGGCTGAGTTGTTGTCGATTTGCAATACAAGAGGTTTCTTCACTTCGACCTCCATTTCTTCAAGTACCGATCTGATCCAAATTGCTTGACATGCAACATAAGATCCTGCTATATATTCAGCTTCACACGATGATAATGCCACCACATGTTGCTTTTTCGAACACCATGAGATTGGGGCACCGAATACTTGAAAGAAATATCCAATTGTACTTTTTCGATCTTCCTTATCTCCACACCAATCAACATCTGAAAAATAACTAACTGTAGCTTCTTTTCTTTCAGAGTCTTGTCGAAATAGTCTTCCACAGTTTATGGGTCCTTTTAAGTATCTCAGGATTCTTCTTGCGGTCTTCATGTGTGACACCCTTGGTTAACTCATTTGTTCACTAATCCGACTGTGAAACCTATATTAGATCGACTTTTTCACACATACCTCAGAGATCCCATAATTTGCTTGAACAAAGTTACATCAACTTTGTCTTCCTCTCCATTTTTCTCCAACTTCACATTTGGTTCGACAAGTGAGGATGCGGGATGTAACACCCTCTAAAACTCCACAGAATAATACAATATAAATCAAAGTACTATAATCATGCATATCAATCATAGAGTGTCACACATAATTCAAAACTCATATACACCTGTCATTCCCAATAACACTTAATTTTGATTCATGAATTCCATACACTTCCACATATGCATTTTGCGACGGAAACACTTTTATTCAAATAAACACGATATCTAAGTCTTATTACAAATTCCTTCATTGAATAACTTAAGCATTAAAATCCAATTCACCATATAATTCCAATAAGGATAACAAAATAAAAGAGTATACAAAGTATCTCTTAAAACATGAACTCAAATTGTTCCCCAGTGTTACATAACATCAAAGCATGACTAAACCCAAAATGCAGAAAGAAAAGAAAGACAACTTCTTCAGCTACACTCCTTCTAGTACCAACTCTAATCTTGAGTACCTGAGCGATATCGTTTAAAACATCATTCCAACAGAATGGTGAGAATTCATATAATTCTCGAAATCATATAATAATATATAATGCAATAACATACATGCATAAAGATAATCTACTCACACTTTATAGGCTTTACATACATAGCATCACCT